AAATCTAGGTCTAGTTTCCATTCTCAGTTATTCTTTATACTTACCGGTTCTTCCCAATCTGGTATTTCATTAATAGTTGATGAGCAGGAGCCGAAGCATGAGTCCTAAGAGGACCATTAGTAAGAGTATGAGTGTTAGTCCCAGGAGACCAAGCTGCAGCCCAAGTCCTAGCCCAAAGCGAAGTGTGAGCAGGAGTCCCCCACGTTTTCCAGAAAGAAATGGAAGTGGAAATGCTGTTAGAAGCCTCAGCAAAAGCCCTTTGAGGGTTAGAAAGAGTAGAAGCATCAGTAGGAGTCCAGTGAGAGCACATTCTCAAAGAAGTATTAGTAGGAGCCCTAAAAGGTCCCGGTCCCAAAGAAGCCCAAGTAGGAGCCCTCCCAGATCATCAGCAGGAGCACGCTCTCAGAGAAGCGTCAGCAGAAGTCCTGTAAGATCTTCGAGGAGAACCATCAGCAGAAGTCCTGTAAGATCTTTGAGGCGAAGCATCAGCAGAAGTCCTTTAAGATCCTTTCATAGAAGCAAAAGTAGGAGCTCAGGCAGGGCTCCTCCTAGGAGAAGCCCAAACAGAAGTCCGTTGAGGGAAACCAGTAGGGAGTATCGCCGTAACTATTCAAGGAGTCCCACCCCGGTACGAAGGGTAAGGTCCCCTCCTGCTGAACGAGGTCAAAGTTTATCAAGAAGTGTTTCACCCGATGCATCACCTAAGCGCATCAGAAGGGGCCGGGGTTTCAGTGAGCGCTTCTCCTATGCACGGAGATACAGAACCCCCTCCCCAGATCGTTCCCCTGTGAGGTCCTATCGTTACAGTGGTAGATTTGAGCATGAGAGGTACTCATGCTGCCTCTTTTAAATTTTCTTACCCTTTTTTTCACCTACAACTATAGTATATTTTAACAACGGGGTTTTGCTCCAAGAGGTATTCACCAACAACTTCATTATATTCTAGGTACTCAAGTTACAGGAGGTATTCACCTTGGCGTTATAGAAGCCCTCCAAGAGGAGTTCCTTCAAGGTCTGATAGGCCATTATTTTTCTGGAAGTCATTAATGGTTTGCTTATTCGCCTTCCTTTTAAAAACATGCTTTGCAGGTTCAGAGGCAGAAGAAGCAGGACACGAAGTCCATCTGTACCACCTAGCCCTCGGTATCGTAATCGTCGATATAGCCGTAGCCCTAATCGCAGTCGAAGCCCTGTTCGCAGCCGCTCTCCAGTTGATGCAACCAGATCTCGTGCCTCTCCAAGGGCTGGGAGGCGAAGGTCCCCTTCTCAGAGCAGGAGCCGATCTGAATCAAGGTCCTCATTGGACTCTCAGTCTCCGAAGCAGGGAAGCAAAGCAAGGTCGAGGTCATCTTCTGGAAGTCCAGATGGTAAAAAGGGCCTGGTTTCTTATGATGATGGCTCGCCTGACTCAGGAAGGTGAAAAGGGGTTTTTATTTCAGTCTTTGATGAGCTGTTCTTCTCTTCCTGCACTGCACTATGTAGTTTTACCAAACTGTTGTTTCTAGTTTGTTGCGTCTTTGCCAGAGGTTGTGTTCAGTAACTAAATATCCGATTTTAGCATTTTTCACTCACTTGGCTTGCGTTTTGGATATTTTATGAATAATTAGTCTCCGGATTATGATATTTAGGTGTTGGATTCTTGTTACATTGTTGGTGCCATCATCCTCGATAGTTTTAATATAGTTGCGTTTAATATATCCGAAACTTTTTCTTAAAAACTGTGAAATGAGACTGGTAATTGATCGGAAATTAGTGATGCGTTTATTAATTTACTTTTGGTGCCATTAATAGTGTATTGAACTAAAGTGGGTGAGTGTATTTAACATTATATGTTTGACATTTTACTATTATGAACTAAGAAATTGTCGAAACAATTCTTAAAAAACTCAAGCCCAGAGGTTTTTCCAATGTTGTTCGCATTGTTCTCATCTACTTATCGTCCTTTCTTCTACAACATGTTGAACATTCATCTTGTAGATGGCCTGTTTAGAAACATCTGTTACCATTTCCAGAACTTAATTCAAACCATGTCTACGGTTAAGCTTCGTGATACCATTCTTGAATGTCTGTTTGAAGCACAATCAGATTCTCAGGAGCTCCGGTAAGAAGCACTACAAACCCTAGCTTCTATTACCAGAGTCAGTCCATAAAACAGGACTTTAGTAGCTCAAACAAGTGGAGCAATCTATGTCCTCCTTACCCTCAGCAAATCCTCCTCTCCTCTCATCCAAACTCTTTAACCTCTCTTTAAACCCAAATCTTAAACAATCTCTTGCAGACCTGGAAACCATCAATCATCACAACTCCATAATCTTCTCCTCAGCCTCCCCACCTGAGGCCACCAAGTTAGCCTCTTCCCTCGTCTGCAGCCTCACCATGCTTGACAAAAACAAGGCCATATTCGGGATCGCCGGGACTATCCCGTTGTTGGTCCATGCAGTTTCAGACCCACGTAATCCGGCAGCATTTTCTGCTTAGTTCTTTAGCCGAGCTGGTGCAGTTCCATGGTAACTGCCCCCTAGATGTTCGTGCCAGAACCGTCCCGGTGTTGATCAAAGTGGTGAAAAACACTGACGGAGAAGACCTTTCCGGGTCTTCCCTAGCTGTTCTGGAACTTCTTTCTAGGTTCGATGAAGAGTTGAATGCTTTGAAAAAAAACGGACCATGTTGTTAGTTCGATGGTGGAGGTGATGAAAGGAAGGAGCATGATTTGAAGCTTTGAAATACTTGTTCGACTGTTTGAGGAAAGCGAGGCCTGCATTGTCGATGCTTTGAAGCTTCCGGAGTTCTTAACAGTGTTAGCTGATATCTCTGTCAGAGGATCCGCGAGAGCTCGAGAGAAGGCTTCTCTTTTGCTGAAGAAGACGACGACGGAGGCTAATTTGGATTCCTACAGTACTGACGGAAGCCACATGTTATTCTAATGGTAATAACAATAATGAAATTAGCCGAGGCTTAATTCTATAATTTTTGTTGAACTTTTATCACTATTTCTTTTACTACAAAACCTCACCATTTGCATATTTGATGATATTTCTAATCTACAATTTAAGTATAATTCTTTATAATTAAATCATTCACAATAAGAATATGACACCCCCGAATTCAAAACATCAAATTAGTCAACAAAACGACTCTATTCATATTTCTAATATATTTGCACCCGATTATTTATTTCTTAAATTATGACATATTTCTATATTTACGGCACCGTAACTTTTGAGGGTTTTTTTTTAATTAAATCTAATCATGATCCTATCTAGAGGAGATAAAAAGGGAGACTCTAAGAAAAAGAACGAGAGTACTTCTAGTGAGTCTATAATCATAACCTAAGGTAATATAAGAAAACAAAAACGAGCAGTTTAATGGACAGATTAAATCATAATATACATATGGATTAAATTATGACATATTTCAACATTTATGGAAGTTATAAAATAGGGATTAATATCATATTTATTCAATCTCTAGAAAAGTTATAACATGTGTAATCATCTTATTAGACTAAATAAAATTATTTTTTAAAAAAACATATAAATTGTTGATGCAGAGTAAAAAAACCATGTAAAAAAATTAATGTCAACATCATTATTAATCTTTTAACGATCGGTGATCAAAATAAAAATTAAAAGAAACAACAATAAAAATTTTGTTAAAATAAATAGTTTAGCGACCAAAGTATAAAAGAACTAATAGATTAGTTACTATGGTATAATCTACACTTATTATTAATATGGCTTGGAGGATGGGTTGATGATGCATGGAAGCATTTCCCAAAGCATTTATTTTTGCTTTTTAAAACTTTCTTTACTCATTCCCCAATAAATTGTGGGAATTAGTTCATCTCTCTCTTCCTGTTTTTATTTTTATTTATAATTGTGGGAATTAATTTGTGTTTATGGGGGAAAAGGGCAATAAAGGTGAAAAAAGCCGTATGAAATGAAGAGAAAAGATGGTCAAAATTTGAACCTCCAAGACTTCTTTCCCATCGTTCAGCTTCCATCTCTCTTTGTCCAAACCCTACCATTTTCTATCTTCTCTTTAATCTTCAACCAATGCGTTCTCCTTTAATATCATCTTGTGGCCTAAGATTTAAATGGTGATTGTGCTTGTATTTTTTATCGTGTTATGTTTATTAAGATTGTAGACATAACGGACGTTATTGCATCATTGTACGTGTCTTTGATTAATTTTTTTTTAAAATTTGAATAATCTATTATAAAATATAATAATTGGATTTAACAAGCGCTGCCCAAGATTTGGAACCAAATTTTGCGGTGCGTGGGTTATGTCGAAAATAGCAGTTTAGGCATTATAACTCACCATTTGTGTGTGTATATATATATATTTGGGTATTTGATTCGGTTGAGTAATCTAAATTGAATACAAAAATTTTATTATGAAAATAACATTTTTATTCTAACTTATTTCATTCAAAACTCTAAGATTTGAAATTTAAATATTATTTAACAAATCTAACATCCCATTATATTAGATCAATTCATAATTAATATATATTTTTTGTTTGTTAATCAAATGTAAATTAATATTTGATGTTATATAGACTTTAATATATTTGTCCTAATATAAAGATTAATATAATTGTATATATAAAATTTGTATCCGCACTGGTTGTACTGGTAAGAGAAATAAAATGAAAGGAGAAATTCAATCTTAATTTATGAGGGAGTGAGAAATTTTATAAGTTGGGAGTAGAAAGGGGAAAACATGCAGAGAGAAGGGTAAATAAGGAAGTAAATAAAGATGAGATTATGAAATTGCATGTGCTCATGTACTCGCCACTCATTTACATGCAACTAGAAGCTCTAAAAAGGAGTTGAAATTGCAACTTTTTCTTCCCCCTTTGGAATCTAATTTCAAATTTCCTTTCATCTCTTTTTCCAATTTTAGTTATTTGTGATTCCATTGTTCAAGGAAATTAAAGTGACATAAAAAAGAAAACCCTAAGCCCTTCCTACTTCCTCAATCCGCCCGGTTCTCAAAGTCTGATCCTCTATATAAATACCCAAACCCCCTTATTAAATTAAACCCACAACTTTGCTTACAGCATCCCATTTTCTCCTGCTTTCTCAGGGTCTGCAACTCTCTGCATTTTTAGTTTGGGGTACTATTTTCCATGCTTCATTATGGAGTTAATGCATGCATGGCTGATTATGTTTTGTTTTAACTATGTTGTAGAGGAGGAAATATGAACAGGCCAGGAGACTGGAATTGCAGGTCGTGCCAACACCTCAACTTCCAAAGGAGGGATTCCTGCCAGCGCTGTGGAGAACCGAGACCCAGTGGCGACAGAGGCGAATATGGAAGTTTCGGTGGTAGCAGGAGCGGCTCATCGTTCGGGTTCACTGGACCCGATGTTAGGCCTGGTGACTGGTATTGCACTGTGGGCAACTGCGGGGCTCACAACTTCGCTAGCAGATCAAACTGCTTCAAATGTGGTGCAGCCAAAGATGAATCGTCTGGTGGATTTGAAGGTGACATCCCACGTACGAGGGGTTATGGCTTTGGCAGTGGCAGCTCTAGTCGCTCTAACTGGAAATCTGGAGACTGGATTTGCACCAGGTTCATTTCATTGATTGATTGACCCAATATATATATACACACGTCTACCGCATTACATTAAATTAAACGTTAGAATTGATGAACATTTGTTGATATGCTTGAACATAAGGTCGGGCTGCAACGAGCACAACTTTGCCAGCAGGATGGAATGTTTCAGATGCAATGCACCAAGGGACTCCACCCACAAATCTTCATACTAGCTAGTGATTAATAAAATGAAATCTTCATTTTTGGGTATACTCTTTTTTTTCTTCTTTTATTTTTACAGACAAGTTTGTGATAATTAAGACATTGTCTCTAAATAAATGAGTCTGGTTTCAGGTACTGGTGCAGTCCCAGGAGAGAGATCGATGAGACAAGGCCATCCCAGATGTTGCTTTCTGTCTGTCTTTCTTCGTTTAGTTTGTTTGTTTGTTTATGTTAGATGTTTAGATCAATCATGTTTGAAAGACTTGGGTTGAAGTACTTAAGCTAAAATCAAAGTATATAGAGCATGCATGTAATTGATGTGATGGTATTTATATCAGTGTCTTTTATCTTCCCTTTCTCTTTGATAAGACTGCTTTTTGTGTGTTTGAAAATGGTCCAAGGAACATTTGATCATTGTGACTTCAAAAATCAGCATATTGCTCACTTCTGCAAAGGCAAAGCAAAGTTAAAGAGGGTTATTCTTGGACCACAATAGGGATCTTTTGTTAAAACCTATGCAAGAAAAAATAATATCTGTAGTGATTGAGCCTTTTATTGGCACCTAAAAACCAAGACTGAAATCCTAATATTGCCATCTTCATCCCTTATATTGTAAAACGTACCAGAAAATGTCATGCATCTCAAATCTTCAACAAAAAAAATTAAGATAGTGATTACAATGTAGTATTTGTTCAAAACTATCTTAATTTATTAATAATCCACACATATCTTGCAGACGTAACTGTTCAAACTCAAAACCGTTAAAGATAATAACATTCTCTTTTACTATTGAGACTGTTTGACGCGTGTCACTTTTTTAAAAGGTGATTACATGAACATGTGGTTATCAATGGATTTTTATACCAAATCATTAATGAATTACATATACATGCATATATATTATGATCACAAAAATAACAGCATGATATAGGAATAACACACATTATAAAATATTAAATGAGTTTTAGTTCAACCGACAGTATTAATTTGCCATTTAAAAGGTTGAGTTTAAACAATCTTAAACACATATTAATATTCTATTTAGAAATTAGGAAATTATGAATGATTCAACAACCTAAATTGGGTTTCAAAATCATGGAACCAACGGAAATGCATGTCCTGCCAACGAGTTTCATAGTTAATTAATTAATCATCTTCTAATAATTAATATTGTCTTACATTGACTAGTAAAAGGAAGAGATACTTATCTTCCATGTATGTTGTACTTTGCAAAACAATGAAAAGGTTATAGTCAGACTAATTTGCAACCAAATTAATTATTGATTATTGGATGGGGTTTACTTTGAGCAATCCAACTTCAGCTTGTATACGTAAGCTTTTTTTAATGAATAATTCACATAGGATTCCAAAGCTTTTAAAGGTAAACTTTCATGGTTCCATCTTTATATCTTTGGGCTGGGGTATAAATATAAAAAGGGACGAATTCACTTTTAATACCAAAGAGCTGATCATTGTAGTCTAGGGATTGAAAAGTTTGTAGTTACATATATTAAATATAATATTTTTTATTTTAATAAATTAAATATAATTTTAATGAAAATGAAGTTGATATAACTATAATTAAAATTAAAAAAAAGTTAAATAAATAAATGATTGTTATATCTAAAAATTACAAATTCGAGTATTTTTCTCCTTATTATTAAGTCAAGACCACAACTAAATAACCTTGAATGTCGCTCGCTATGAGCAATCAGAAACCCTTTTGCATCGAAGCTTGGCTTGGGCTCGGTATTACCATGCTTCTCCAAATACCCCTCCTTCCCTTGTTTCTGTGTTGCCAATTCAATGATCTCCTCCAACTTTGCACGACTATTGCTTGAACGTTGATGGGGGAGTTTCTCCATCCACTGGAATTGCTACAATAGGCGGTCTTCTTCGCGACAAGCAAGGCAACTAGATTATGGGGTTTAACAAAACTGTTAATTGGTTTACGACTTGCTTGGGAGAACGGTATGACCAATTTACAAATCCAATCCGATAGTATGGAGGCTCTGAAACTCACTCAAACTCCTTTGGTGTATTTGCGCACGATCCCCCTAGTTCGTTATATTGATAATATGCAGAAGAATGTTTGGCCAATAAGCTTCAAATGGGTGCCGCCGGAAGCCAACAAACCAGCTGATATGCTTGCTAAGCTTACTGATCATTCTCCAATTGTCACTATTGTTTTTCATGATATCCCCACTGCCGTGCTTCCTTTATTGGAAATAGATGTCCTTGGACCTCCATATTTAAAGTCTAAACATTAGTTAGGCTGTCCTCTATTACCATTAAAAAAAAAACCTTGAATGTATGTGTACACCCACCCATTAATTAAGTTAAAGAAATGTAGTGGTCAAAAAGTAAGCCTGCAATTCATTAGTGTGTGTATGCTACTACAATCCATGATTTAGCTTTTAGCAAGTTTCTTTGTTTCACTTAAAGCATAGCTGTACGTTACTTCACTTCTCAATCCCCATTTGCTTTTGTTGATGTCAGTGAAGTGAAAGTACTTCCCATCTCACAATCTTATCATATTTTCTTCACTCGTTAACATCAGAAGCCATTTAATTATAATTATTAATAAAAGAAACAAAAATAAATATTGGACCAACACTTGAGTTAGAATCTCTTAACTACGGATGACTTTACATTTAAATAAGGAGAAATAACAAATTATCCTCTTATTATATAAATCATTGTATTCTCATCCGTTGATTATCGAATGATATATATGATTAGTATATCAATTAGATTGAAATCCAACCAAATTACAATTAAAATCCTGTGGAGCTACATGGTGGGTTTGCCCACATTTTCAGTACACTTGTTGCAATCATTGTTCAACAATGAAGGGAATACGAGAGATGTTTGTTGGGTCTATTCAGTGGTGGAGGCATCCATGATTGGTGTACCAATCATCCCAAGATGGGGCCATTAACAAAATAAAATCAACACCTTGTTTAAAAATATCGATCATCTATCAATCTACAATATTAAGCTGAAATTACATTCTCTTCAGTTAGTGTTAAACCTAATAAGATTAAGGATATCGAATAGCCAAAAAGCAACAAAGAAAAGAAAAAGGCAATTGATGGGGTAAATTGGTAGATGAAAGAAGAGCACAATCATGATTTTAAAACGTCCTTTAGGGCCCCTTCAAAACTGAAGAAATTTGGTTCACTTTGAGCTGATAAATGATTTAAAAAATTCAACACTGTGATGGTCAATATTAAAAACAAATACGAAAAATCAAAGCCTTAAAAATAAATCCGAATTCAAAGCATGGAAATATGAAGAACTTTTTAAAGTTTTGTTTTTTTGTTTTCTTTTATTTATTTAAAGTAATAGCTTTTGGAAACCAAGCATGTTGAATCTGGTTAAAGTTTATGACTTTTTAATCCTTTTAAAAAAACCATTTTTACAGTTGGCAACTGCACTGTTTTGCAAAAGCTTGATGAGTGGTGCGTTTTTCTCATGCAAATTTCAGTGGGATTGCTTTAAATGATGCCTCTGAATTTTAATGACAAAATATTCTTATATTTGATTAAATAGTTATTTTAGTTCATTATTCTTTTTTTTATTCTTTTAATATTTTTGTTCTTAAACGTTTTATTTCATGATAAAAAGTGTTATCTATGAATGAAACCATTAGTTAATAATTAGTTAATGCTCTAAAAAATAATTTTTTTTCTAAAATAAAATATTGAGAGGGGCCAAAATGTTTCAAATATAAGGACTAAACTGAAACGTTTCGGGTCAAAATATTTGAAAAATAATAATCAAAATATTAAAAGTATTTTTAGGCATAATGCCAAAAATAACCCCCAATATTTATTAAAATTGTCATTTTTGCCCCTATTTTTTGGGGAACATTTTGGCCTACAACGTTTCATTTTGGGGCAAAAATCTCCCTCTATAGTGAAACCCATTAGTTAATACATAATTAACGCTCCAAAATATGAGACTTTTTAACCTAAAAATGAAAAGTTAAGGACTAAAATACCCTAGAAAAAAGAATAAGGGATAAAGTGATTATTCTATCAAATTTTAAGGGCATTTTCCCCTTAAAATGAAATGTTGGAGCAAAAAATATTAAAAAAAACAGAATAGAGGGCAAAATGATCATTTCAATAAACATTGAGGGCTAATTTTAGTATGCTAAATTTTTCCTTCACAACATATGAGATGTGTTTGGTCCAAGGCCGAGCCCAGGTTTTCTCTGGGTAGGTGACTGACCTTTCATTGGTCTTGGTCTTTACACACCATAAATGGCCCTTCAAATCCTGCACTATCCCCTCAAACTAACACCATAAAAATTAAAATTAACCGACCCTTATTCCCATATATAAGGGGAGGTAAGATAATAGGTTGCCTTCAACGCCAGGTTGAGAGTAACTTACGTAGGAGACCTCCGAATTATGAAATACCTTTCGTGAGACTCGATCCTACGACTCTAAAGCTAATAACCTTGTGTTCTACCAACTGAACTGAATGATCATTGAACACCATAATACCTTTTCTTTTTATACCCAATACTATTATCGACTAATATAATTATGATATCATCGGTACTAGTGTATCTAATTATGACATTAGACAATATAATAATTTGCAAGGTTCAAGAAACCAACCTCACCCACCATAGCATTTTGAGATTTTTTTCATTATTCTTTTTAAATGTACATTTTTTTAAAAAAAAATAGGAAGATTGAATGAAAACACCAAAATGGGTCCATTGAGGCTGAAAAATCGTAATTTAACTGCCCACATTTCGGTCCATGGCTTTACACTACAGTATCTACGATTTTTAAAAGGGTTGTGGTTGGACTTTTTTTTTATTGAATTAGTTACGGTGTCGCACTGTCGGCAACAACAACGAATTCCCTTGTAGTCACAACCTTGTTTAGGTATTTGTACTATCGGTAAGTAATTATTATGTATTTCATTTTTAAATAATACTAAATAGTTTAATACTAAATAATTTGTTAATGGTAGAAGTGGATGTGAAATTTAGAGGGTGCCATTTTGATTTTATTTGAAATACATAGGAATGGTACTTGTCAATTTCTTAATTAGAGGGATTAAAATGCAATTTAAGACATAGTTCATTTTTTATTTATGTTGATATCTTCTTATAATTTCTCAATTTGCTATTTAAATATTTGTTAAATAATTATATTTATTTATAAAAAAATAAGATATAATATTAGTTTATTGATAAAATTATTTAAAATATAATCAATTTGTTTAATCTATTAAACTACTCAAATGCTTTCGTCAATTAAGAATTTTTTTTAGTATTTAATTTAATCAATCAAATAAATAAAAAGTATAATGTAATAGTCAATAAACCCT